TCCTTCAACCCTTTGCCATAGATAGATAGATAGATAGATAGATAGTCTTTATTGTCTTTTGGTCATAAATAGCTATGACATAAGACTTGTCAACATTACATATACAATACATAAGTATGCGATATGCAAAAAAGAACAGGTAGTTAATTAAAACAGTAATTGAGATAATAAATTATAAACAAATAAATAAATAAAATAGGAGTCATTACAAACACAAACAAATTCTTAATGAGCAATAAATAGACTGTTTATTTTCCGTTAAGCTTAATAAATAAATAAAAAGAATAAATAAATAAAATTAAGCAGTTAGGTATTCGTCGACGGTCTAGTAACACTTTTCTGATAGATATCTTCTCAGACGTTTCTTTAATGTCAACATATTAGTGCTTCTGCGGAACTCAATTGGTAGTTTATTGTAAATTTTTGTACAGGCATAGAGTGGTGATTTCTGAAACTGGGCTGTTGCGTGGACTGGTATACTTAAGTCAAAACCTATTCTGGTGTTGTAGTGCCTGTTAACTGTGTTGTTTTGAATAAAACTGGTCCTATGTTTAAATGCGAAGAGAGCGCATTTATATATATAGATGGATATTAATGTTAGCAGATTATATGTTCTGAAAATATCTCTACAAGAGTCTCTTTTGTTGATATTGAAAATCAGCCGGAGTACTCTTTTCTGCAAGATGAAGACTCTGTTGTTCATGACTGCTTGTCCCCATAGTATTATATTATTGCTAAGATGCGGGTAAGCCGTATTAGATATCTATAAGAGCTGTTTGGGAGATGTTTTGTTTGAGTTTCAAGATACAGGGGAAATTCAAATTGTGCTATTTTATGTATAATACGACTGTGGTTTAACAATCTCAGAGAGTCTGGAAACATTATTCAGATAGGTATCACTGCCTACTATGCTACTTTAAATACTTTTTGGCCCTTTTCTCTATTTCTATAATTTACTTCTTTCTCAAGGTGCTGCCTTTTGGTGTCCGTCTGGCAAAATAGGCAGAGAAAGGTTATCCTCCAAATAATTCAAGGTGTTTTGAATTGCCACTAGACGGGTAAACCGAAATAGCCACTTTGTCTACATGAAATGCGCAGCACCGTTAAATACGTGGAGCATTAAAAAGTTTCAGTAAAAATTTCCAGCTATTTTCCGGTCTATTTCACAGTACAATACGTACTATGCATTAGGAGTTTTTAACTTAATTCCGTTGCGGTCCTTCACGAGGGTATTTTTGTCCCCCAGGAGTCGCTATATTGCTTTTTAATGACGACCGCTTCCTAATGAAAGTTTTTATCCATCTGTTTTTCCGTAGAACGAGTTGGATATCTGTGCGCCACCTATTTTAATATAATTTACAAAAAAGATGAATGTGCTGCGACTTTCACGGTACAATTCATCAATTAGTTAGTTGTACGTTTTCTGTCTGTAAAGCCGCGTACGGACGTTACCACCGAGAGAACAAGGCCTGACAACAGACGCGTGACGTCACCACGAGTAGGCCGGTCCGCCGGCCGACAGCACGGCGTGCCGTACATCAGCGCTAGTGAATAATATATACTAAGTGACATATAAATCCGAACACCCAGTTTAAATGGTTTTATTTTAATAAAAGTTGGTGAATGTATTTATCTTACTGTAAATAACAAGTGAAAAAATTTTCAGCCTTATCAGTTGGACATTCCGGTTTTTATACTGTTTTTTTTAATTCACTAACGCTCTAAACATGAATATTTCAACCACAGTAAAGAATCAACGTTGGTGGATTTTGGTTGTTGACATCGTTTACGATCGGTTAAGATGCCTAGAGTACGGAGACCTGTACGATTTCGTCAACTTAGTGAGTTTGATAGGGGCCGTATAGTGGGACTTCGGGAAGCTGGACTTTCTTTTCGGGCAATTGCAGTTAGAGTGCAAAGAAGTGTAGACATTGTGGTTAGGTGTTGTCAGACATGGCTTCGAGAAGGCCGTACGCAAAGAGCAAGGGGCACTGGACGCCGCCGTAGAACAACAGACCGTGAAGATCGCCGCCTAAGATTATTGGCCTTAAGGGACCGTTTCTCCACTACCAGGTCCATTCCAAATGAATGGTTTGCAGAACACGGAAGACCTATTGGCATGCGAAGTGTTTACCGACGAATGAGAAGTTTTGGCTTGTTTTCATACCGGCCACACTGGGTCCTCCCTTTAACTCGGGAACACCGACGTAATCGCCTTGAGTGGTGCAGACAACGGTCACTCTGGGATCAGGAATGGAACAGTATTGTCGTTAGTGACGATTCTCGATTTTGTTTAGGCATGCATGATGGTCGTGCCAGGGTTAGAAGGCGACGTGGTGAAAGGAGGAATCCGCAGTTTTTTGTTGAAAGACATGTTCATCACACTGTTGGAGTTATGGTTTGGGGTGCTATAGCTTATGGTTACAGGTCACCTTTAATCTTCATCAGAGGTAACATGAACGCGCAGCGTTATATCCACGAAGTTTTAGAACCCCATCTTTTACCCTATCTTGACACCCTGACAAATCCAACTTTCCAACAAGATAATGCCCGACCACATGTTGCAAGAGTCACAATAAACTTCTTTCAACATAATGATGTCACATTGTTGCCATGGCCACCAAGATCTCCCGACTTATCCCCAATTGAGCACGTGTGAGATATGATGGGTAGGAGATTGCTCAATTTGCAACGTCCTCCTCAGACTCTAGAAGCACTTCGAGAGGAGTTGGTGGTTGCCTGGAATGAGATACCACAGGAGGACATTGACCACCTGATCAGAAGCATGCCTAGGCGCGTTGGAGAATGCGTAGCACATCAGGGTGCATCCACACATTATTAAAGGTCAAAGGGCTTTAAAGCAGTACAAACATTTTGAAATTTTTATCATTTACTTATTATGCTTCATTAATTACTTATACAAAATTTTATTAAAATAAAACCATTTAAACTGGGTGTTCGGATTGATATGTCACTTAGTATATTATTGCAGCATATTTAATATACTCTATCTGATGTAAATAACGGATAATTCAGAAAAGTGTTTTTGGTATATGAACGCAACTTGGTGGAAAATATTAAAGTAGTTATTAACTATTTTCACCCTGATTTTCACTGATATTTCATCCAATATTACGTGCACATTAGATTAATAAGTTGATGTTATAAAAGCTTGCTAAAAATGATAAATTCTTCAATGAATAACCCCATGTTAGTCACAACCGATCAACAAAATCTCACAGGAATATGTGGGCAATTTACTATTATTATAGGCATAATATAATGCTACTTGAAAGTTATATAAAAAATGTAGTGCTTGTAGAGCAGTTGTGTCCAGCAAGAACCAATGAAGAGGTCTGAGGTAAGCTCTTGCCAGGAAAGGAATAAAGAAGATGAGTAGGAAAAAGTGTAGGATAAATGATAACAAAAACATATAAATTCAAAGTAAAATAAACAACAGAAAAAACATAACAAAGATTAACGAAAACTTAATAAAAACTCTTAGAACAAACAAATAATAACACAAAATAATAACAAAAATTAGAAAACAGAAAACAAGTATCAAAAATAACAAAATTTAGAATAACGAAAATTAAAGTGCTAAATTCTGAATATGTACAAATAAACATTTATCTACAGCTATGTAAATGTTGCGGCCTCATGTGAATGTAGTAAATCTACGTTTCTTTGCTTTATTCGCGCTTACGAAGCTGTCGTTCCTTTTGACACAATAATTTTTCAAAAATGTATTGACTGTGCAAATAACAATTAGTTTTGTAACATAATCTGGTGAATGGACTGTGCAACGCGAAAATGAAGTGTCGTGATTATTATCAATCAGATTGTTAATTATCAACTGAGAAAAACTTTATTGAAAATTATATAACTTAGCATGACAATATTAATAACTGGATCCTTTGGGAATTTTAAGCCACCTCTACTCAAATTCTGTATAATACTGTGCTTGTCTTCTATATCAATATCATCTGTGTGTGTCAAATTTTCCTTACAATGATCGCAGTGATTGTTCTTTAATAAGGCATAGCAACAGTAATCAGCTAAGTAGGTGATGACAGGGATTTCATCCTTTATACTATCAATATCAGACTGTAAAATTTCAATTTCCCCGAAAAAGTGGTAATCATTAAAATTGTGTGGAATTTCATCTATTTCCAAATCACCATTTTCACAGAATTTATCTATTTGTATATCACCATAGCGAGTTCGTAACTTTTTCTGAGATTCATATAACTGACGAATTGATATATTATATTGACCCCCTGCCAGTTGACGATACTTTTTTGTCATATTGTATAATAGACTATGATGAATTTTAGAAACAGGACAGATTTGAACAACTTCTTTGAAATTGGAGTAGAAGCTTGAAATCATAAACACCTGGGTTGTTGTAGCTAATGAAGTATTATTAATTGACGTTCCAACAATATTACCCCCTTTGAAATCTAAATATGGCTAAACGTGTATTTCATCCATCAATAAAATCATGTGCTCCTCACCAGGTTTCACAAATCTGAAAAGGTTTTTTGCATAGCCTAAAAAATTATATCTCTCATCGGGAACTGGATCCACCATCAATGTATATATTACAATTTGACTTCAAAGTATTTTAGTGTGGTAAAATAAGTGCTCCATGACTCCTAATAGATCTATATGAATGTGAACTGATTGTATACAACATAGAGCAAAGCACTATTGTTTCTGATGAGTAACTGTGCCTGTTTTTCTGACTAATAGTGAGCTTCAGTTGCTCACAAATAAATTGAATGACAGTGTGGGTCTCTTCATCTGTGCTATTTAAAATATTGTAAGCATGGTTGATAGTGGCTCTGAACTGGTCTTTACCTGAACATTCCCTCGAAGCATCTGCATTCTCAGAAAGAACATGCAGAACATCATCCAAGTGGTGTATATTAGATAATAAAAATGGAGTTTTAATATTACCTGAGTTGAGTAACAATTCTTGGGAGTAGATATACGTTTTTACATTGAGATCTTTATTACAGAGTGAGTTATGATGGGTGCTGGTTTATATACTTAAACAAAGTAACTTTATCCTGATCAATTTTTTGCAACCCATATGGACATTGCCATGAACTAAAAATTGTGAGAAAGTCTGAATAATTTTGAAAACAAGTAGATTTTTGATATGAGGAACAATCATCAATGCTAGTTTGCAGTGCTTTAAGTAGTTGTTCTTGTTCCTTGTCCCTCAATTTCTCATCTCGGCTTCTTCTGCTTGATATGTCCTTTGAAAGGTATTTTGGACAATTTGCAAAGATACTTGGAATTACATCTGCCTTTAATTTTGGATACTTAAGGGGTACAGTAATGGCCCTACCTGTCTTTTCGTCATGGAAGGTGGATTCCCAAATGATGCTGTCCTCAGCAAAGTGCAAATTGCATACTCGGGTGTTTTTTGTAACCACTAAATCACTACGAGGGATTGCATTGAGCCATCTTTTATGAAAATACGTAAACCTTCGAACCGTTCCCGTAATTACCGACACAATTAGGAACGCAGCACTTGTAAGACATTTTGAAAACTTATCTGAACAATCGCGAGACACAAATATAAGTTTAAAACATCAATAAATTTGAGTTTACATAGCATAGAATAGAGGCTCAGAATGTGAGGTTAGTTGGCAAGGTTGCCACATATTCCAATTTTGAATGGAATATTAGACTTCACAAGTGACAGATTGAACGTAATATCGAAAATGTATTCTTGACATACTGAGGCGGATCAGAGAGAACAGTCACATCATCACTGAAGCTGCGCAGGCCCCGAGTACATCTTGCAAATTCGCCCACAGAGAGGTACAACTAATTAGTATAGATTTCGATACTGCTATATCAAACTTAGATATGACACCCCAGAGAAATGGTGGCGCGGTTTTCTTGCCAGCCAGGCATCGCGAAACTCCATAAGAACATGCATAGGCCTACTCAGCGTGACGTCAAAGGCTTTTCGGAGCCCAGTTGTTTGGCCTTGTACTCTCGGTGGTAACGGTACAGACCGAAAATCCAACGCAAGCACATTGCCGTTTGTTGTTGGAAGGTATTGAAATGCACTCGTCTACACCTAAATTTAGTCTCGAGTTGGACCGAGTTGTGTTAAGTTCGGTACTGATATCGTAGCGATGAGTCTTCTCTCATCGAACGCAGACAAACGACTAAATACTAGAAGCCCAAAAAATCCTGACCAGACCAAATCAAACCTCCTTTTAATGTACCGATCAAGGAGCGAACGCGATCGAACGCCAACGCCGACCTTGGAAACAGTCGGCTTATGTTGACACACACCGATTCGAACACCTCCAAATCTTTTGTGTCATAAATTTAATAATCCTCAAGTTGTCAATGTTTTTGCATTACTTTGAGCAATTTTTGTGTGCTTTACGAACGACGAAACAGCAGTAGCAGAAACGGTTCACGCGACTCCATATCCAAATCGAGTTGGTAGTTTTGGCCTACGTTTCGACGGCAACGAATTGGAGAAACACAAAAAAAATTATGTTTTGGGACTTTTTGAGCGCCGCCGAAAACCTACCAAAAACTGGATTTTAGCGTACAAAGTTAAACATTGCAATGTTTGCGGAATATAGATTTGCCGTAGATTACAGCTGTACACAAACACATCCTCACAGCCAGTTAAATCATGCTTTTAAATAAAATCCCAGCGCAACGTCCGTCGTGTACATATGAAAATGCTCATGTTTATTTTGCTGCTAAAAGCTCGTGCAAATGTGTTTTCCTGTAATCACGTTGGATTGCAACATTTTCATCTAAAGTCTAAATAACGTGCCGACGCAGAGCTTTCAGGTGATATTTAATAAATTACCAGGCTGTTATTCGTTCTGCTAACGCACCACGGCTGCAGAATGATGAAAAATCAATTCAGCTCCGATTGAACGTTAGATTAATACTCACATATTTTATTTCGTCGTTTTCAGTCAACCGGGCACAACAACTTCACCGAACACGATAGAGCAGATCTATGATTTACATAAAAGTTTAATATTTTCAATTTGTTACCCGCATGAAAGATATCAGTGTACATATACTAAGTGACATATAAATCCGAACACCCAGTTTAAATGGTTTTAATTTAATAAAATTTTGTATAAGTACTTAATGAAGCATAATAAGTAAATGATAAAAATTTCAAAATGATTGCACTGCTTTAAATCCCTTTGACCTTTAATAATGTGTGGATGCACCCTGATGTGCTACGCATTCTCCAACGCGCCTAGGCATGCTTCTGATCAGGTGGTCAATGTCCTCCTGTGGTATCTCATTCCAGGCAACCACCAACTCCTCTCGAAGTGCTTCTAGAGTCTGAGGAGGACGTTGCAAATTGAGCAATCTCCTACCCATCATATCCCACGCGTGCTCAATTGGGGATAAGTCGGGAGATCTTGGTGGCCATGGTAACAATGTGACATCATTATGTTGAAAGAAGTCTATTGTGACTCTTGCAACATGTGGTCGGGCATTATCTTGTTGGAAAGTTGGATCTGCCAGGGTGTCAAGATAGGGTAAAAGATGGGGTTCTAGAACTTCGTGGATATAACGCTGCGCGTTCATGTTACCTCTGATGAAGATTAAAGGTGACCTGGAACCATAAGCTATAGCACCCCAAACCATAACTCCAACAGTGTGATGAACATGTCTTTCAACAAAAAACTGTGGATTCCTCCTTTCACCACGTCACCTTCTAACCCTGGCACGACCATCGTGCATGCCTAAACAAAATCGAGACTCGTCACTAAAGACAATACCGTTCCATTCCTGATCCCAGAGTGACCGTTGTCTGCACCACTCAAGGCGATTACGTCGGTGTTCTCATGTTAAAGGGAGGACCCAGTGTGGCCGGTATGAAAACAAGCCAAAACTTCTCATTCGTCGGTAAACACTTCGCATGCCAATAGGTCTTCCGTGTTCTGCAAACCATTCATTTGCAATGGACCTGGTAGTGGAGAAACGGTCCCTTAAGGCCAATAATCTTAGGCGGCGATCTTCACGGCCTGTTGTTCTACGGCGGCGTCCAGTGCCCCTTGGTCTTTGCGTACGGCCTTCTCGAAGCCATGCCTGACAACACCTAACCACAGTGTCTACACTTCTTTGCACTCGAACTGCAATTGTTCGAAAAGAAAGTCCAGCTTCCCGAAGTCCCACTATACGGCCACTATCAAACTCACTAAGTTGACGAAATCGTACAGGTCTCCGTACTCTAGGCATCGTAACCGATCGTAAAGGATGTCAAGAACCAAAATCCGCCAACGTTGATTCTTTACTGCGGCTGAAATATTCATTTTTAGAGCGTTAGTGAATTTGAAAAAAAGCAGTATAAAAACCGGAATATCCAACTGATAAGGCTGAAAATTTTTTCACTTGTTATTTACAGTAAGATAAATACATTCACCAACTTTTATTAAAATAAAACCATTTAAACTGGGTGTTCGGATTTATACGTCACTTAGTATATTTCATACACAATTTAGCATGCGAGCTGAACCCTGTAACAAGCCACTGCCTTCTAGAAGGATCACAAGTCTTGTTAATGTCACTTCACCACCACTACGTGTACCTCCAGGCCTTGTTTGTGTTACACATTTCAGTTCTATGGCATGTGAGCTATCGGTGATCTGGACTCCCTCCAAATCTCTCGTCGGAGTCGTCGCTCGTCTTATTTTCTCCACGTCATCGGAGTAGATCAGCTTGTCACTGTGAATTCCTGCATGTAGAGTGCTGTCACCAGGAAAACCATGGATCAGATTGTTCGAACAGGTAAGGAGATCGTCGATATGTGAGAGGAAAAATGTCGCAGCCAAGGCCGATCCCCGGGGAACATCCGCGTTGACATTGAGGGATGAAGCGGAGAACCCGTCAATTACGACGAATATCTTGTAGCCATGGTGGAAGTCAGCCACCCATCTACAAAGCTTCTCTGAGAGGCCATAGGATGGAAGGTTGAATAAGACGTCAGCATGCCGCAGTTGATCGAATGCTGTCGTGATATCAATTACAGGCCTGTATGTTAAAAGGTCGGTCTTAGATCCTTTTTTTTAAGATAGTTTGGACATGAGCAAATTTAAAGTTTTCTGGGCTTCGCAAGACATCTGGAAGAGACGCTAAAGAACTGGATCTCTATCGTCAGTATACGAAACAGCTATTTATGGCTGTCCGTCTGTCGTTGGACGAAAGAAAGCTATGGTACTTGTTTGTGAGAGAGAGTAAGTTCAACTCGCATGAGAAACGTTGTAATACTTAATTTAGGATCTCTAAACACTTGTCATTAAATAAATAACTAGCACATCTTCTTTGTATCAAGACCTCTAGGCATATCTAGGTGATGATTCCAGGCCAAGACAGGTCTAATAAAGATCTACATCCTAAGTAATAAAGAAGTAAATAGAGACCAAAATAATTGTATGCTGTTGATACCTCAATTAGGACCTGTCACATTAAATTAATTAAATACTATGTTTCTCTTCCAGACAATTATACTTATGCACTTACGTTAGTTTGGAAGATTTCGTTCTCTTGAGTCTTGCTTTGATGCCAGTGTTGTGTAGAAGATAAAGCGCCTCCAGATGGACGTACTGATGAAGCAGTTGTTCATGTTTTTAACTCGTCTATGATACCAAGATTATGCTGTATCTCGCCATTCCTTTATTCTGAAAGCTCAATCTGCTTAAACATACACTTACTAGAAAGTACTCAACGTAATACTCCATAGGTCCAGACTGGTTATAATTCGAGGGATGTCTTTTAAGTTTTGCATATGGAAACAAAACAACACTGCACGTATTGTTGTGAAACTTTGAATTTAAGTTTACTAAAGAGTGAGGTTAAGATTCAGTACTGACGTACGATCGGCGGGGCCTACTATGTTTCTATACGCAAAACTTAAAGGGCATCCCTCGTATTTGTTCCAAGTCAAATGCTCAAATATTGTCCATCAGCCATACCTCATATTCTTAAACTTCATGTTCAATTTTTGTTTTATTTGTGATATTACCTGACACCTAGGGTGATTTTCAGATAGTTACGAATTTGCTTACCACACGTTCACTGCCTGTTATTCTCCTGTTTGTAAATTTTACGCAACATATTTTGATCAAATGCATTTTATGTTACACTCCAGTTGTCTACAGAAGCAGCTATTTTTGTATACAGGATATTCGTTTGAAAACTTCATACGATTTATCTATCGGAAATCACTTGTTAAGAGAAGAAACGTCAAGCCACGTCAAAAGATTTGTCAAGGGGGACAACTTTTTAACCGAAAAATACTTCACCGCCTTTCACCCTCTGCCCCTTGGAAATATTAAATGGTAAGAGGTATCGATATACAGGGTGACTTTGAGGTTGAGTCATTAATTTTCAGATAATGATTGTAGAAGGAAGATAAACCAAAATATGTGTGTAAAAATAAAAAAAAGTTAAAAAAATGTTTACCTTGTTTTATAAAGTATCCTCCCGACAAGTATTTCAGTGCGGACCTGTATTTGATTGTGAGGTCTTGGAGCACCGGCATGCCGTCCATATGTGAGGTCTTAAGTCACCTGATTCACGAACCTGTTGTACTACATTAACAAAGGCACGAGGGGTTGGTTGCACTCGATTGGGAAACCGATCCGCATAA